CGCAAGTGTCGTACTGCCTTCAGTAACATCCCAGGCTTGTAACCTCTACTGAATTTTAAAATACAAATAAAAACTCAGCGGTTAAGACCCATATCTGGGGTTTATCACAAGGAAGAGACAGCCTAGGGAAACTCCACACGACACGCGCTGCTGAAACTTAGAACACCATGACCGATAATCAAAGATCTGTTATTTGGGGTATGCAGAGTTATTTCTACGTTTTCATGGTTTACTCGAAATGTAGGAGAGGTAACAGGCTCATTCATCGGAATTTAGGGCAACTCTGCATTAAGGGAAACGTTGAAACTATGCAAGGGAGTTTGCAACCACTAACTAGACGCCACTAGATGGCAACCGTTGCACATTTCTTGTAATATATGGCCGTACAAAGGCTGGCGTCTCCCAAAAATGGCGAGCAGAATAATGGTCAGCGGAAGTCAGAGAGAGGAGAGTGTTTCAGATGTTCCCGAAGATAAGACACAGCTGTAGAAAAAGACATTTGGAGTCAAGAAAATGAAGAATTTTAGCTATAGCAGTCAATCCTAACATATAGGTGCATTACAGTGAGAGATTATTAGATGTTTTAGCAAACTCCGATTCAGTTCTCACTTATGTGAGAACTTATCACTACATCTTCTTACCACTATTTCCTCTAATAATCCATAACATTTCTATTGTTATAACTCACATTTGTCACATCCACACAATGCTCCTAATAGTAGGTGCTCAGGCATCCCTTTATATACCTAGAAAGTGGTTTTGCTAAGTATAAATCGTGCCTGATAGACTTGGTGGCCTTCTAAGATGGGGTTACAGCATTGGTGGATAAGGGAAGTGCAACTGACATCATCTACCTGGACTTGTGCAAAGGCTGTCCTGCACGACATCCTTGCGTCTAAATTGGAGAGACATGGATTTGACAGATGGACCACTCAGTGGATAAGGAATTGGTGGGGTGGTCGCACTCAAAGAGTTGCTGTCAACAGCTCAATGTCCAAGTAGAGACCAGTGATGAATGGTGTTCCTCTGGGGTTGGTATTGTGACCAGCACTGTGTAGTATCTTTGGCAGTGACACGGAGAGTGGGATCAAGTGCACCCTCAGCAAGTTTGCTGATGACACCAAGCTGGGTGGTGCGGTCGACATGCTGGAGGGAAGGGATGCCATCCAGAGGGACCTTGACAAGCTTGAGGGGTGGGCCCGGATGAACAGCATGAAGTTCAACAAGGTCAGGTGCAAGGTCCTGCACAGGGGTCAGGACAATCCCAAGCACTGGAGAAGAGAAGGCTTGGGGGACACCTTATAGCAGCCTTTCAGTACATAAAGGGGGCCTACAAAAAAGCTAGAGAGGGACTGTTTACAAGGGCATGGAGTGATAGGACAAGGGGTAGTGGGTTTAAACTGAGAGTGGATTTAGATCAGATGTTAGAAAGCAATTGTTTACTGTGAGGGTGGTGAGACACTGGAACAGGTTGCACAGAGAGGTTGTGGATGGCCCCT